GAATTTGTTAGTTCGTTTTATCTAAAAGTTTAAATTGTTAAATAGAAAAGACATTATTTGCTTATATTTTAATTTTCAAACAACTCCCGAGATCAAATTCATCCAATTCCAAAAAGGAGAAGCAAATAAAAACTTGGCCAACATCTGCAGCTTGGAGTTTTTAACGGTTTTAGTTCCTTCGTGTGTGGTGTCTAAAATATCCAAAATCTCTTTGACTACCTTACACATTGACACACGCGTAAACTCTTCTAAAGATACTGCCATAAATAGGGCATGTAAAACTTTGTTATTCTAATTACACTCATCTAAGTTTGCTCTAGTCCAATTAGCAATGTGAGTGGGGATAACTTCATTATTAACCGTAGAACTAGGTGCAACCCAACCATTCATAACACTTAGCCGGATACACTCATCCATAGATTTTAAAAAAGCTCTCATTCTAACCTTTTAATAGACATAATTATTGTCATCAAAATATGGACTCATCTAGAAATCTAAGGTCAGGATTCTAATTTAGGCTATGATACCACTTGAAATAATGAGTTTCGACTCAACTAACACCTAAGGGGGTGAATACGTGTTTATGCGGAATTAAAGATTATGTTCGATCTTACGTGCGGAATTACACAATTAAAAGCAATAAGTCATTTTTTAATTGTTTTTAGATGGTTAAACAAACAGTCCAATTATCATAACTTGAATTGCTGCAGTTTGTAATAAGGAAGCAATAAATAACATCAATATTAATGATGGAGAAACCGAATTTGGTAAAAACTCTAGGCTCAAGCCACTAACAATCCACAATAACTAATCAACTTATAGTACTGTCAGATTTGATTAATTTTAGTGCTTTCGACCTCCTAACTGTAATCACTAAAGTCCTACTGGATTGTGTGCTCCTGCAGTAACTCTCAAACTTCTGAATTCGTCTATCTCATGTGGATTAATGAGAATTCCTTGTTCTCCAATGGCCAGAAACTTCGATCAACTTCTTTGATCTTCAGAACTCTGACAGATGTTGTAGAAGTATGTGTTTCAGTGTTTGGTTTATGTGATGATGATGTTTTTCTAAGAAATGATCAAATCAAAATAATGGTTGAACTCAATGAATGATATGGAGAATGAAAAATCGTGTTTCTCTCAATGTTCAACCTATCATTTTCTTGTAAGTGACATCCATATATATAGTAAAGAGGTTTTGGGTAGTATGGGCCGGATAAAAGCTTTGAAAAACGCGAATTAAGTTTTTCCAGAAAATATCGTCCCTCGAGCCCAAGCTCAGCGACATGCGAGCGACGATGTCTCGCTCGAGTGAAGTTCAGGCGACATGTGGACGAAGCAACTTCTATTTGTACCGTTCGAGCAACAATTTGACGATAGACTAGAGAAATTGCGGCAACGTTTACTCATTTGTTCCAAACTCGAACACCAGGACTTCTAACTTATAGTTTTGTCAAAATATTGCCAACAACTTCAAAACCTAACAGTTTTTTATTTTTGATCTTGATCCACAATACGACTCGCGTATGGGATATGACATTTACACACTTGCTCACGCGACGGGAAACATTCCCACGGACACCACCTTGATAGCATGAACAATACCAAAAACACAAAAACAAATGACGTCCAACAAAACACACTATAATATACCATCTTAGTAGAGAAGCATAAAACTATAAAATCAATTAAAATAGGCATTTTGGCGGGGGACCAAAATGATACACCGCACCACCACCATACAGGTGGTGTTATTTTCAAAACGAAAATAATATTTACCAGTTTTTTTGTTAGTTTCATCACCCTTTTCAATTTTGTCAACCTCCACTTGATCACTTCTCCTAGATTTTAGCTACAAATTAACCTATAAGTCTCTCCCACAATTTTCGTAATCTTTCTAGTGCATACATGCATGCGCAGATTCATGCGTTATTAAACTCTAACTTAGTCCTAGACAAATAGACAACCACCTTGCTACTTGCACATCTCTATTGACACAAAGGATGACAAATGAATTTTTCAGGAATCTGTCAGCTTTTTTTTTTTATTCCCACAAAATCCACATTTGCAAGAGAAATTTCATGTGCCATCCTTTCTGTCAATCGTGATGTACAAGTAGCAAAGTTCAAAAGACTGTACCAACTAGAGATCTTGATTTACTGTATATAAAGTATCTTCAAAAATTTCAGATATGTTGTCAGCATCTCAGGATAGACTCGACTATTCCTCTACAACTTGTATACAGTACTCATTTACTAGCGCAAGAGTCAAATATGCCCTATTAGCTTCCTCGTGTAGTTTACTAGTGGGATTCTTGAAGTTTCTTTTTAAGACCGTTAGAATTAGTTAAAACCCAACTTTTTATCAATGGATATATCTTGCGGAGCAACAATGTCACTCTTCAATCGATATGATCGGGTCACTAGACTGAATGCTATAAAAAGATTTAGCCTTCATTCATTTTTATTTTCGGATAAGATCGATCATACACTATCAAAAACAAATTAATATTATAAAATACCATATCTTACCCACAAAGTGTTTAGGTATGATAATTCAATGTGTTGTACTGTTGTATATGTACAATACCGTGTGAGTTACATGTGTAAGTCGAAAAAACTTTTCTTTATGAAAATTTAATACTCTTAACCGGACACGTGTTCTTATAATATATGATTTTGTGTTGAACCAAATATTGACCTAACTGCAAAAAGTATCAACCAAAAAGACTCTGGACCATGTTGCTGTCAATCGGGCATAGTCATCATTGGATAAGAGAATAATCAAGCTTCTTGCTTTAAGTAAATTAAAATGATCGAAATTATATTGGTGATAATTAAGTTTGATATATTAATCTAGATAACATCGACGAAAGTTTAAAATAAGAAGTTAAAATCTTATTCATCATTTCTGGTAGAGTTTTTCATGTTTATAAAATAGTCAAATATCATTTTATCTATTGAGACTTGAAATTCTATCGGTCGAACCGGTCGGGCCGGGCTGGTTCTGACAACATTGGGATATATAGCTCAATCTTTTATATATCAATCTATATTTCAATATTTAACTAATGTAGAATTTATCAATTAACATGCCCCCATAAAATGGTGGCTCGTCTAAGGAGATCAATTCTCAAATTCGTGTACTCATTTTTTAGTTTTAATTAGATCGAATTGCTTGTTAAGAAATGTAATCAAATCCCTTGTATGTTAGTCTATATTCGATATTTAATCAATATAAGATTTATTACTTAATATTATCCACATATATCATAGGGACCTATCACCAAATACTGCATATTAAAATTAACTTATCATATATAGAGTTAATGTGTAAGTTTTAAATTATCGAATATTTAGACCCAACGTGTGGAATTACACAATTAAAAGCAACAAGTTACATTTTAATTGTTTTTATAAGGTTAGATGAAACAAGTCAATTTATCATAAATTTGAATATACAATCAATAATTAAAGCAATAAAGAACACAAAAAATGATCACGAAGAAACCTCAATTGGTTAAAAACTCCGGACACTTTGTGAGTTTGTAATCCATTATAAATTGAAACAAACTTACAGTACACTCTAGACTCGTCAACCCCGTAGAACTTCTAACATCAATTCTTGTAGTTTCCCTTGATCCTACTACATGTGTGCTCCTTCAAAACAAATCTCGACTCTTAGTTTATACCTTAGTCCTCCTGTACTACGTGCTTATGATGCCAAATCTCGACTCCTAGTATCTCACCTTAGTCATCCCGAATTTATGCTTCTGCAACAACTCTCGATCTTTAGTATTTATTTATCTCTGGTGGATTAAATGGTCTGGTGTTTAATCAAAAGATCTTGTGTGTTTTGATCTGATAGTTTTATATGAAACAATATAGATCGATCAACAAAATATGTTTTGGAAGAATTTATGGCTTAAAGAACATGGTGGTTAAATCTTTGAATCAATTAATGTGTTTTGGATCTTTAAATGAATGATCTCTATGGAAAAATATGATTCAACACACTTTTGTATGCCCCATAGGGTGTATATTTATGGGAAAAGGTGTTTGGAATGAAAAGGGTTTGAAAAACTAAGTGTTCGAAGTAAAACAGATTTCTGAACGTTGACTTGTAGCTCGAGCGTCAAGTCAGCGACAGACGAGCAGCAACTGAGTAGTCGTTAGTATTTTTATCATAACTTTCTCTTCCAATATTCGATTGAGGTGATTCAAAATGTGTTGGGAAGTTAACTCAATGAGGTACAATTATTTTATAGTAGCCTCGTACAAATACCAATGTTTTCTATGTGAAAAATGCGTTGAAAGTTGCGACTAAGAATTTGAAACATAACTTGTACAACTCTTTGACACGCTTTAGGCTTCTAATTGCATTTTCTTGATCATATGTGATCTTCTTGGACATTTTGGACTCCTTCAAAGACTATACTACCAATCTTTAACTATTTTGAATTTGATTACAACTCATTAAACTCCTAATACAATTCAATTAGGATATGATTTTGGCTAAGGAAATTACTAATTATAATTTGGACTTAACAATACGTAATGGCAACAATTTCATATTTCACTGTGTATGCAATTGAGGTCAAACCTGTTCATCGAAGATGCAATATTGTAGTACGACTCAAGTTGTACTACCTGCAAAACTGGTCCTCGTTGCGTTAAGGCTTATCGGTGATACAATTCGCCCCGTACTAGATTTTGGAGAAAAGATGGGTCGTGGTAGACAAGCGTGTACCACTTTGGTCACTAACCACACACTAGGGTGCGGATAAAATGCAAGAACATACTTGAGATATTTCTTGTTTCATCTTCTTTTGGCCGAACCAATGAAGTGAAATTGTGAAAAGACCTAATTCCATCTCAGCAACTTCCTTACAACTAGTACGTATCCACTTCTCTATATCTATATATATTCCACTATCCAACTTATTTCCTAGCAAGGAAACTGAATTTCATCCAAAGTAAAAGAGGAAAATATTTGAGAAGATGAAGAGAAATGTATTTTCGTTTCCTTCCAAGTGTAATTATGATAAAAGGAGAATTATTCACAGCATCAAAGTTGGGATTGCTCTGGTATTGGTTTCTCTTTTGTATTTGCTTGATCCATTGTTCAAACAAGTTGGAGAAAATACCATGTGGGCTATTATGACTGTTGTCGTTGTTTTCGAATTCTTCGCAGGTAGGTCGACTATGAAATTTCACGTACTAGGACATATGTGCGACTCTTTTATTATCAGCTGACTCTGAAATTTCACGTACTAGATTGTATGTATGACTCTTTTGTTATTAGAGTCATGTATATAGGGTGTGGGTGCGACTCGCTTATTATTATTATTATTTGTTTGGGGATATGCTTAATTGGCATTTACTAATTATATAATATGCTGAAGCGCAGGTGCTACATTGAGTAAAGGAATAAATAGAGGGATTGGAACAGTAACAGGAGGTGGATTGGGGTGTTTGGCTGCAATTTTGGCAGATAAAATTGGAGGAAGAATTGGCAATGCAATTGTAGTTGCTTCTTCTGTGTTTATTTTTGGTAATAACAAAAGTGAAAAATAAGTAAGTTCAATATAAGTAATTATTTTAGTGTTAAAATATATAAAGCTATTTTTACATGGACATGCAGGGGCTGCTGCAACATATGCAAGATTGGTTCCAAGAATAAAAAGAAGATATGACTACGGAGCCATGATCTTCATCCTAACCTTCAATCTGGTGGTGGTTGGCGGCGTCCGAGCCGAGAAGGTGATGGAATTAGCCGGGAAACGCCTCTCGACTATCGGTATGGGTTTTGCGGTTTGCATATTTATCAGCTTACTCGTATTTCCGATATGGGCAAGTGATGACCTCCATTACTCCATAGCTTCTAAGTTTGACAAACTTGCCTCTTCTATTGAAGGTAAGTTATGTCAAATGATAAAAAAATAAATAGAATTATTATTTCTGGTAAAAATAAGTAAAGTGAAACAATTGATTAATCATGAACTAATTTAATTTGTTACATTTATTAGGGTGCTTGGAAGACTACTTCAAAATGGCAAGTGAAAAGGAAAACAAAACAGATGCAAATTTGGAAGCTTGCAAGTCAGTGTTACACTCCAAGTCGAACGATGAATCATTGGTATTGGCTCGACTTAAAAATTTACTTATAAGTAACTTAAAGTGATACTAGACGATACTGTACTGGAAAATGAAAAATAGTCTAATTTTTTTTAAAATTTAATTCTATATGGAAGGCAAATTTTGCAAAATGGGAACCTTGGCATGGAAAATTTGGATTATCCTATCCTTGGGAAATGTATTTAGAGATTGGAGAAATTCTAAGAGAATTGGCTGCAACAACTATTGCTTTCAAAGGATGTCTTCAATCCCCCAAACAGGTATCAATACAAAATATTGGATAAAATTATGAATCAAATTACAACATTTTTTTTTATTATTTCATTGATTTAATGGCTTGTAATTTTGTTATCAGCTTTCACCAATGCAAAGGCGACAAATGAACGAACCATGCGAAATACTCGGGCTAACTCTTGTATGGATAATGCGAGAGCTAGGAGAAAGCATCGAGAAAATGAATAAATGTCGAGCTAAGAATCTGATGATTCCGAAGTTACAATCCTTAAATTTGCAGTTAAACCTAATGCATCTATCTTCTAAGATACAAGTTGAACACGACGATAATCTTGCGATTTCGAGCTTCATTTTCTTGTTGAGGGAAATTGTGGGAAAGGTTGAAGTACTAGCAAAAAAGGTTGAAGAGCTTGGGGAATTAGCAAACTTTGAAACAAGGAAGCTAGATGTATAGTTAGTATATATTAGAATTGTGAGTTGTACATAATAACTTGAAAAATGATATATATATGAGAATAAGTAAAGAAAATATGAGTGGAGGGGAAAAGGACAAAATTCAAATACATTTTGAGACATCACATATATTGGGACATCAAACATCCAATTGAAAGATATAATTATTTAAACTTCCATAAAATAAGAAGGGAAAAACTAGTGGTTGAGAATTTGAGGTCCTACAATTTTGTCATTTTTCATTGTATTTCCTTTTTACTTACAATATATTATCATGGACTAGATTTTAATATGAATAAAGGGTAATAAATAAGCACCATAGTGTTTATTTATTTATTTTTATTTTTTTACGAATGCACTGTATTTTATTTGCATTAAAGATTCTTAACATTTACCGATTATTTCACTTATGTCTCAACGTTTTCATCGCGCTCATATTCTTAACAATTCATTAATTATTACACATGTACGTGAAAATCACGTGTAATTTTAACATCCAAAATGATAGTTTTGATCATGCGAGAACCTAGATTTATATATTTAAATAGGTTGATAACTTATAACCCTACATTTGAAGGTTTGAGGATCTATAATCACTTCATGAAAAGGATGGGGAGCCTAACCCTATTTTTTCCAAAAAAAAAAAATTTAACCAAAGCAATTAATTTGGAGAAAAAGATACAATCTGAAAAAATGGATGAGTTTTGTTATCGCTACACTTTAATTTATTTCAAATTTTAACATTAATTTGTTTCTCATTGATCACTACATTACCCTAAAAATTAATGTTAAAAATTTGATACTCGAGTGCTTAGCTTTCAATTCACCTCTGATCATCAAATGAAATTTGAATAACCCGTCCTCATCTCTTTGAAAGTTTGAAAGAAGGGCGCTTCAGGTTCTCCATTCCAAAATGGAGAATGCCAATAGATAGAATTCATTAAAAAAAATATAGAATCCACTCATGGAGGGAGAAGTCATTGCCGTATCAGGCACTAATCTATTTTTAATGTCTAATTATATCGGGAAATTATTCAAATTTAAGAATAGAAGCCGACCTTGACAACTATTATTTTGAGGTCAAATCTAATATTCAGAGTTTGTCTCGAAAAGACCGCCTATAAATTATCGACCAATTGTTGTTTTTTACTTTTTACCCTCTACTTGAACATGATTGGCTAAGCTTACTTTCTTAAAAAGGTGCACGTAAGCTTAGCCAATCACTCTCTAAAATTTCCACAATTTTTTTATCCATTTGTATTATCATTGTATCCTTTCCTATAACAAGACAAACATATGAAAACAAGAACAAACAAATGAAATTCTCAGAATTGGCGAAGAATCCTATGCACTAACGCACTTAATTCCTCAATAATTGAAACCCCATTTTCTTGAAACACAAGTCCCCAGATGGATCGTCTTCTTCCACCAAAGATGATGATCACACAAAACTTGCTCAAATTGTCAATTTTATTGCTCACTCTGTGTTACATGGCATCGAGTGCACCAAACACCGGCGTCAAATCGGTGCTGTGCAATAGTAATTCATATTCGAAAGGCGATCCATTTGCTATTAGTCTAGCCTATGTTCTTGCAGAATTGGAGACTACCACGCCTGCCCGTAAAGGCTATGATTTCTACAATATTTCGCCTTATCCAAATGCTTTTGCCTTCGGGCACGCTAATTGTAGCTCAAGTTTAACAAGACCGGACTGCAAAACCTGCCTCGGAGCGGCCAAAACCGCCATGTTGGGGTCTTGTGATGGGCGGATTGGAGCTCGAGCTGTGCTGAATGATTGTAGTGTTAGGTATGAGCAGTACCCTTTTGATAATTGATTTGTAAGATTCACAAGAAGTGCTTCTCAATAAAGTGTTTTATGCATCTTCAACTATCTATTGTGACTCAATTCTCTCCAAATCTTGGAATTGAAACTTTCATTTTTCATGTTTTTGTTTCTGGTGTATTTAGCGTCTATTTGATGTAGATTTCGTGAAAAGTGATTTGCTTTCGAGAATATGTGATTGAAAATGAATTTTGCCCCAGCATAGGTATAGTTTCTTTAATTTTTCACTTTTTGTACAATTTAAAATATGTTTTACTTATCGAAAATTATGAATAGTGATAAGTGCGTTTTGTAATTTTTTCCTAGAATAAGTGTATAGAAGTAAGCAACAGTTACAAATCCTAAAAAAATTGTGGATCAAAATAAATTTGGTTTTACAATGCAAGAGACAACTATGAATAACAATAGGCTCACATATTGTAAAACGATTTAACTATTTATAACAATGCAGCACAATATCATCAAGTTCATCAGACTGCAGCCCAGTCAATACTATTAAGATGATGAGTGTTGTTCCAAAATTCAGTTTAATAGTCTCTGCACTTTTGATTACAGTTAAAGGTGGATCAGATACCAGCATTAATGTCCTAGTTGAAACAGCCAAAAATGAAGGAATCTAAAACCTTGTATACTGTTTGCTTCTGTCTGTCATTTGCATTCTGTATTCAAGTGTATCCACATCAGACAAGAGAACGAAATGAAGCGAAGTGATCATCAATCCTGGAGATGCAGAATGTATGCATCTCAAATTCCTTGATGAATTTCCAAACAAAAACAATTCCAAATCGCGTTGAATCATAGCATCGTGTGTACGTACGTACCTTGGCCTTCCAGTTGGGGTTGCTTCGTCATATAGAGTATAATCATCCAGTCGTGCAATTTCCCTCGCCTCAATTGTATGTACAGAGCAAATCATTAGGTTGATGTCAATGTAATATTCACTCGATGTTAAGAATGTTTGCAGGGCAGCAGCTTCGGGCATTCATTTTTCTAAGCTACGAGGAATCAAAAAGCATTACTACATAATGTAAGATGCTGGTTTAGTTGAAGACCCCTTAAACCTATGAAGTTGGAGAATGAGAAGATTAAGTCAAATTTAGTCCACGAGTAAATTCTCGTTTGAGGAAGACTGCTAAGAGAAGTTCATTCCATGTATCCGGGACACCAGGAAGGCACCAATGACTGCAGTCTTGTCGGTGGAGAGGGGCTGGTCCCACTTTAGGCCCCAAATAATACAAGGAAGAATGACCGTCTTTTCTTTGCGATGTCATACCCGTAACATTCAATAGATTGATATTCCCTGTCTTCAAATGTTCTGACAACACATTAACAACTGTTTTAAAATCACTCCATGCTTCAGAGGAGAATGATGATGAGCTCAAGTCGGGTAGTGTCTGCAGGTGACAGCTGCCACCAGTCTTCCAATCCCCACCTCTGTTCATTCAAGCGATACATTAAGTGCATCTTTGGTATACTAGAAAAAGATTTGAACTAAATTTTCTACTTTAATATTGTCGACAACTAGCTAATCCTCCCTATATCTTATTAAGTCGAGATAGAATATTGGACAAATTAATCAGATTGGATATATTTTAGCGCTCTAAGATGCATCATTTGATCGAGAGTCAGAAGTACCTGAAATGTATAGGAGCATAGCTTCGGAAGAAGGTATGGGTCTTTATCATGTCTATTTCTTGACTCATCCAATCAATTAATGTCATAATTGACCTTCGGAATGCATTTTCTACACTCATCTTCATCTTGATCTCTGCCCCTTCTTGGAAGTAACAACCCCTAATACAGCAGAAGGATTCAGAGTTTCAAAAATGGTGTGTATGTTAAGAAGCACACCCGAGCAAATACGCAGTTTTATAATGGTTCACCCACAATGGGAGGGCTTTGTCCACATTAATAAATAGATTGTTAGTATGATGATCTCACGCACTTCAAAATATATAATTCTATAAACACCCCGAGTTATCCTTTAAATATGTAAGGATATTAGGGGGACAGTAATACATGCAAAACTTTCCACAACAGCATCAAAACTACACAATAAGTTCCAAAGATGCACAATTACTCAAGGGAGGCATAAACTGAATTGCCGTGTCCACAGATAAAACTTTGTTGTGCGACACAAACATCCTAAGAGATTCGCTTTCTTTTTTGTTAATTTCCTTGGGCTTTTTCGGGTGAGAATTCAGGCTGTTGTCTGCTTTAATCACAAAATATACATAATCGAGGAAAAAGGATAGCTAGGTTTTCTATCATTTTACATAACTACTTATGAGAACATATAAGCTAGGCTTTTACCAAGATTAGCTAATTTATTATCCAGTTAAAGAATAAGCAAGTAAAAAACCATTAAAAAGAATATAAATTCTATTAAAAATAACTAAAACAAGTAAGAAAATTACTCTCTGACAGTCTTCTCATAATTCCACCAGTGCCCACTGTTGAAAACCAGCAAATCTGCACCCTTCCACCTAGCAGAGCTCCAATCCATTCGATCCAACTTCAACGTCATTTTCACCTTTTTAGGACTTCCAGCGGGTGCACGACTCTGTAACACTAGAAACGGAGCTCTGTAATACTCAACTGTGCAGTTGAAATCCCTAAACTTAAAAACTAAAGAGCCTGAGTGCTTTGTTATCGGGCTCCCGTTCACTTCATAAATTGAACTCTTATTGGTAATAGCAGAAGACAGCATGCAAAGAAGGGACTCCCACTGGTTTCTTCCTATAGAATCTCCTACAAACACTATCCGACGGTTTCGAAGCTTTTCCAACATAACTTTTGCATCGAATCTGCTCCATGTCAAAGACAGAGAACATAAGAAAAAATTGCAAATTTGCATTGATGTTAGTGTCTTGTGAAAGTTGCACTATTATCATCACCTTCCAAGTCACCAGGATAGCTGAGGAATGCATGCCCTAAATGGCTAAACCCACAATCTAAACTTTTAAAAAACAGAACAAAATGCTTAATATCAAATTAATGAACAAAAATCCAAAGAGATAAACTGGTCTGGATTCTAAAGAATAAAACTTTAAACTAGTCCGTGTCAAACCTTGGAAAAAACAAATAACGAAGTAAAACATTTCCATCCATACTCCACCGACCCTATGCCACAAAAATTCAGCATCTTATCATTTTCAATTTAAGTTACATTAACTAAACACCAGAAAATGACAAGAAATCTGTTTCTTGCATAAAAATCTGAAGCCTAATCAAACACTATCCAGAGCAACAATTGTCCAAGCAAGGGTTTTTATCATATACTTTTTGCACATGGCTTTGGAACTCATAGTACCTTGTACAAAACCAAACGTTAATCAATTCATACGTGGGCAATATCAGACAAGATTATAATTTTGGAAAACAAAAAACAAAACCTGGGCAAGTTGCAATCTTTGGGTTGCCAACGCCACTTAGTGTAGAAATTATCAGGCCTACTATTTTCAGAGCATCGAAATCCCTCATCCAAGAACATACAATCTTTAGATTGGTAAAGTGGATAATTTTCTTCATCCCATACCCAATTTCCCTCGTATATATCACATCCTCCACCACTTTCTTCAAGAAACCGCACTTTTTCTTTTACCGGTGAAGAATCATTGAGCTTAAACCAGGTTGTGAACACCGATTTCCCGTTTAAACGATTGAGGATTCTGTAATCCAACAAAAGCAAACAGAGTATAAAGCAAAGACTGAAGAAGAAACACCCAAGAACACCAGGTGAAGGCTCTAATGTCTTCAAACGCCTGAATTTCTTGAAAAAATCTAAGTGGGTTGTTCTGCAATACCCGATTGTAGATTTATCTATGTTCTCACACATCTTTCTTGAACAAAAAAACTCTCACTGCACACTCTACTGCTACTTCAAAAAAATCGTTTTTTTTTCAGTGTCCGAAAATCTTTAAAGAAAAAGGTACAATGGACGCCAAATTGAGAATGTGTTCATACTCAACTTTAAACGAATGGAGAGAGAGCGGGGTTTAGAGAGAGAGAGAGAGAAGCGGAGAAAAACGGAAAGGAGATAGGACAGAGTTAGAAGATGATGAGGTGGTGGGGTCTTTGAACAAAGACAAACATTCATAGCAAATGGCAGGTCAGTCGTGCATATTGTAGTTGTAATACCTTTAAATTTCATTGTACTTAAATTTAACAGATTTTCAGAATTTTTTGAGCCCTTCTAATTTATTTTTTTTGTCGAACTCAACTTTGTTCACAGATTCTCTTAATAAAATAATTTTGAACGCAAATATTAATCTTTTTTTACACAATTTGTTTCTAGAGAATGAGCTCAAAGGACTGTATTTTCTTTATTGAACGTGTAATTTCATTCAACTTTTTTTTACGGTGATTTTCAACTTCGTCTGCCAGTATCCTTGTGTGACAAAATATATTTATATAATCGCTAAAGGACCACAACATAACGCACACGATTTCTAACTTAAATGGTAAAATTATCAAAGAAAGTAACATTTTATGTAATTAAACGTAACTATTTGATTTTTGAAATAAAATTTTTTTTTTCTTCGAACAACTTTATCATTTAAAAGTGATAATACATTCAGTGCGTGTTTTGGGTGAGATTGGAGAGAACGTGACACCCGTGTGGGGTAGGGGAAGTTGGAAATTTGTTGTGGCCCGACAAGATTAATTGATAATTTGAATTTCAAGAAGAAAATGACATATACAGCTGCCCAATTGAAGATAAAAAGCAAATATTTTGTTTTCAACTCTTAAAAGCTGTTTAAAATGTATCTTGACAATTAGAGTCGAGGTCTCTAACTTATTAAAATGTAGCAAGTAGATATAGATACATCACCTACTTCTTCGGCAATTTTAGTACTCGACCTTCCTATTTAGGCGTGTTTGGCAAGGCTTTTTGAAAAGTCAAAATCTGCTTTTCAGATAATTTTTAATAAGTGTTTTATCTTACTAGAAAAACTTGAATAATACTATTGTACAATAATTGTTGACAATCATTGTGTTGTCAATATCTGCTTGATCGATTTAAAAAACAATTTTTAAAATGAATGGTTTAAATTTAGCCAACTCACGCTTGTCAACAAAAGTTGTTGGACATTGTTGTACATATAACATAATTTAGATGAATTGATCTAAAGTAGCTTCTTGAAGAAATAGTAGGACCCCATGGAACATCGATAGAAATGTGTTTTGTTTTGACTTTTAAAGGAGAAATAGATAATTTGCGTTAAGCAATGACCGGTTAGCTACTAAATAGAAAGGCATGGGACCTCGGTGCTAAAAAAAAAAAAAGTCGAAAACCTACTCATATATTTTCAAGTAGGATAAAAGAACAAAGTAGAACAATCCAATTTTGATTAGGATGTAATGATAATAATGGACTAAGTCAATTATTACTTCATCACTCATTTGATACATCTCTCTTATTCCAATTACAACTTGACGGTATTTTATATACAACACAAGAAAAGCAGGAAGATATGACAATCTAAGGAAGACATATCTGGAATCTTGTTGCAGACAAATTTTGAGTTACATATGAAAAGGGCAGAAGAAATTTGATTAGACGACAGTATTTGGCCATGTACGAACAACGTAGTGTTCACAAACAATAGAAACAAAAACTGATGCATGTCGCAATGCCACCTAGAATACAAAGTCTGTCTAACCTGTTTTCATATTGCATCTTCTTCTCCTTGAGCTCTGTTTGTACCTTTGAGTACAAATGGCACGACTCGAGGGCTTCATTGTAATTCTTGCTCCTACGGCAGCTAAGTGCTGCTTTAAGGATGAGCAAACTTTTTAGACCATTGACATGAGAACCATCCATATCCTCCAGTTGCATGCTTAGTTCCGTCAACTTGATAATTGTTTGGATGCCTTCGCCCTCAGTATGGATCATCCTGAACTTCATGATAAGGATACATTCGACTACTTGACAAGGAAGAATATCTTTGGCGGGAAGAATGGATCCAAATCTTACCACGAAATCCTTGTCTGTCGGCCAATGTCTTTGCCCTCCAAGTGGACTCCAACTTGATAGATTAGCAGCCTTTTTTATTTTTCTGTTGACTATAATCCAACTAAGCCAGATGCCCTCCCGGAACTCTTGCCAGAGCTTTCCGTCTTTTCTCTCTTGTTCAATGGACATGATCGGAGGCAGGCCATCGGAGACTGCAAGTGTCACTTTGTCCGAATATGCAAGAAGATCAATACGAAATGGACAATTGTGAAACCAACCATTAAAGCCATCTGCATTCGGGATTCCCCATAGGACTTTTGAATATATTGTTTTGTCTTTATATCTGATATCCATTATAGACACAAAATCTGACGGTGAAACATTTTCAAGTTCATCCACATCACCATAGTATTCAGCTTCAGTCAATTCTCCGGGATACTCAAAATTATCATTCCATCTAAATTCAGGAACCTCGTTTACAATAAGGGGAAAACAATCTGCGTAAAATTTTTTGAATCCACCAATTGACATGATCAAACTTTTGACATCATCCCGATCAGTTGAAGGCCACATAGAAGCGCACACATTTTCCCATAATCGCTCTTCCTTTGAAATAGCGCAGAATGTTGCACAAGCACAGGCTGCACTGGCCAAAGTTGCACCATCAAGACGCCTAAGTATGTCATAGAAAAGATCGCTGCTCAATGATGCCATACTTTCAACTGATGAAACTGACATTATCAGTCCTTCAGATCATCTGAAAAAGAAAAATTCAAAGGCTGTGGTTGAGCAAGAATGAATAGAGTAGATTATTCGACATTTGCCTTTCTTTTTGTTGTCTCTGACCCACTTTCAAATTATTTTCACCAGAATCATCAACTCACTCTTTAAGAAGATCTTGATATGCGAACAAGACCTTCATCTGTTTAATCCAACCATCAAACTTTGGCCATCAAGAGGAAGAAGATTTGGTTGAATTGTACCATTCGTTCGATGCCACATTATTTGGTTTCTGATGGCATTCTTAGCAATTAATGACGGATTTATGGCAACATGTCAACCCTAACAATATGTGACTTTGAACAGGGAGAAATCTGAATATCTGATGCCGTGACTTAGCAGGAAAAAAGATGTAGACATGATAAAATTAAAGAGAACAATGCTACATTTAACAGGGCTCTGATACAACTATTAAAATAATAAAATCTATAGCGCCACATAAACAGCTATATCTAGAGAGACATTGGAAGAGAGTAAACAGTATTAAAGTAAACTCAATCTCCTTCCAAGTAGCAAGTCCGAAAGTGAACACGCACCGGAAAGACATACACAAGAGAATTGCTAAGTCACATGAAGTGTAGTTAGGTGTTATTTTGTTCTCCCGGTAAGTTTTCTTCTATGGCACAGGTCAAGCCTCCTCCTAAGTTTGTATTTATTTTCATTATTAATAAAAATGGCACCTTGTGTGGTATAATTTAAGAAAAAGTAAGCTCTTAGTGTATATTGAATTTGCCTATAATAATATCCTATTGGTAGTTCTTACTCCAAATCGCACCTAACCTAATTTGGCCTAAACCTATTTACCTGTTTTATCCAAGTACAGATAAAGGGGACAGAAAACCCTGTGAAAATTTAAATCACTACTCACATCGCAAATCTCATACATTGTTTAAATCCTAATCAGTACTTATTTCCTTGGTTTACCAGAATATTATCCATTACCTCCCAAAACAAACCCTGAAAATTCAGAAATCAAACTAATTGAAAAGCAACAAGTCACTAACAATTCACAAAAAATCAAGTTATCTCCCCCACCCGTGACAAAGTAAACTCAATTCTCACAAAAAGGAAGCCACAAATAGAAAAACAAATAGTGCCTTTTCACAAAAAATCAAGTTATCTACCAAACCGTGACAAAGTAAACTCAATTCTCACAAAAAGGAAGCCACAAATAGAAAAACAAATAGTGCCTAGAAAAAAGCATTTCCAGGCAAATAGTAATTTGTTTGCATAAAATTAAATTGGCATAGTCAGTCAAGAATTTCGAGAAGTCAAAGCAACCACAATGTCAACCAACAGCAAACCGAAAAAAATCTACTTACACAAAAGCATGAAGCTCAAACCCAAAAAGTTAAAGATTAAAAAATCAATAAAAACACAGTAAAACAGGAGAAAGAAAAGAGAGAACCCACCTCACAGAGCAGCACAGAAATACTGGAACTTGATCGAAATTGCAATTTGGGGGATTTCAGAAAAGAATAATAAGAATTAAATAAATAAGAAGTTGAAATGAGATATTTGTAGCGCAAGACAGTGGGTTAAAAGGTCACTTTCTCTAAATTTTTCCGAAGATCTTGCTCTTTGTCGAGTCCCCGTATAATAATTTGGATTGTTGGATATATCTTTGTTCGAGTAAATTTCTGGGGTTATCCAACCTGATTCATCTATGTGTATAATATTTATCTTGACACGTAAGGATTGAAGAAGGAAAGGCGTGGACCCCAAAGACGAGCTTAATTAAATGAGAACCGTATATCCAGCAGATTAAACTTTAGCAGAGCTGTAATTTTGTCCACAGGTAGAAAAAGTCGAAGAAATGAAAAAGAAAAATCTAGAAGTTGAGGTTATGCATTTTCTTCGTAGGTTGCCAATATGAATCTCAAAAGTAGGTATGGCTATGGGTCAAATGAGCAGCTCGCTGGCAAAAATTAGGGATGTTTTTTATGGATATTATTGAGAGAATAATGTATTTTAAATAGTGATATGATAAGAAATATGTGGTTAAAAAGTAAGGAAGATATTATTTTATTGAAAAATATGTGGCTGAAAATGAGTTTTAAGAGATATATTTTTTAAGAAGTGAAAATTGCATAAAATCAGGCATTTAGTTTGACATTTTAAAAAATCAGGTTTAAACTTTATTTATTCAATTTTCAGGTTTTTATCATTTTAATTAATAACGATATTATAAAATTAAAATAACATATATACCCACCCTACTACCTACCTCTACTAAAGTTATTTTAAATATGAACCATAAATCAACTCTTGTGTCTCTCACCAATTCTCTCTCCTCTCTCACCGCCCGTTGCCTCCCCCTCCCTATGATGTGAATGGCTGCTGTCGTTCAGCAGCGTCGCGATGTTGCTGTGGGTGGGTGGCTCGGCGTCGCAACGCTGCTGGTGATCCGGTGATTTGTAGTGGTTTTAGGTTTTTCTTCATTCTCCGATCTTCTTAGCGGGGTTGGTTTTGGTTGTTAGTGATTTGCACATTGTGATAGTTTTTTGCAAATGCAAATGGTGAGGTAGTGGTCGGGCTGGGCAGCAATTTTTTTGTTGTGATTTTGCTGTGGTTTTCTCGATGGTGGTGTAGCGGATCTATGTGTGTGGCCGTTGTTGGTGGCCGATGTGTGTGTGGCTATTGTTGGTGGCGGATATGTGTGTTGGCGGATCTATTATTGGTGGTTTGGGCCGTGTTTGGGTGGTTGTTAGTGTTATTGTTGGTGGGTGGTTGTGGCGATGGTTGCGACAACGGGCGGATGGGATGAAGAGCGTCTGACCAACTATTTGGTCGATCTGTGACCAAGTGTTGGTGATGTATTGGGATTGGGGATGGGTGTTTGGGTGTATGTGACCAATTATGTGGTTCTATGTGGTTAACTATTTAATCGTGACCTTAAAATTCGTTAATCTGTTACCAACAAATCTGAAAATATGTGATCTCTGTTATCTACAATTTTTTTAACTTGTGACCAATTACAAATTTGTGACTTATAATTTTTTTTATCAGCGACCAATGAAATCAATTGTGACCTATAAATTTTTTGATTTGTGACCTCGAAATAATTTGTGACCAATTAATTTGATGAGTTGTGACTGAAAATTAAATTNGACCTGGAAATAATACATGACCTACAAAAATGTTTATCTGTGACCTCGAAATAATCCGTGACCTACAAAATTTTTTATCTGTGACTTCAAAAAAGTCGCCGAAGTTGTCGCCAGTCACCGGAGTAGTCGTCGGAGCAAAGGTGGCAGTGGGATGTATTAATTATATTATATTACAGTTTAACATTTAATTTAATATAATAATTGTGAGATATAATTAATTAATTCATGAAAAACCTGATTTTTGCAATTTTAAAACTTTGGGCCTGATTTTTAATTTCATGATAGATAATATCCAATCCATTAATTTTTCCCTTTTAAAAATGTGTATCAAACATGGGCTAAGGTTCGGTCCATTAGTTTGGTTCATAGCGAGTCAGGGCGAGCAGCTCGTGAGCTGCTGTGAGCCCTATTTTGTTAATTTTGAAGTGTGTTTTTAAACAATTTAATGATAGCAAAAACTGATTTTTACTACTGTTAAATACAAATTTTATAATATGTTTTTAACAAAAATTAAATGGGTTGGCTTGTGTGGCCAGACTCAAGCTCATACTCATATGGGTCCAAGCTTTGCGAGCCAGCCTGCAAGTCACTAAGTAGCTCGGGCATGTCATCCCTAGACCAAAGCTTCCGTTCGAGATACAATAAAAAATTACGTAACTACACTCATTTGCTATAGTGACGGGAGATCATAATATCCAAAGTCAATATCTTACCTATATTAATAAAGTGACGTCACGTGAGTAGTTTAACTAAACGTGCATTTCTCAAATACAACGAGAATGAAGAAACGTGCTTTCATCCCGCAGGACAAATCTGGCCGTCCATCTTCTAAGATTATTTCTCAACCATTAGATACGTGCATGTAAAAGGGGAACCATCTTATTAGGGCAACAAAATCGATCTCTTTCTCTCTCACTTGGTTGTCGTTTTCTTCCTCTAAAGGTGAAGTTGTGTACTTCGATTTTCTTGATTTCCTTTCAATTACTTAGTTGTATTGTTAGGTTTGATTGGGGTGTATTTGATGTAATTGAAGATTATAAAGAGTATAGATTCTCGATTTCATGTCTTGATTTAAATTTCTATTCTTGACATTAATAAAATATATTTAGATGACTTAATGTGATCACAAGAAAAAATTGCATGATTGAACGATAGACCAAATTCTTCGATTTCACGTGACAACAACTTTTCCATATTCTTTAGCTTTTTGCACGCAACATAAATTAATGTATTACTAATTCTTGGTAGAATTAAAATCAAAATTAGCACAATTAGTACTACGGAATAAAAGCGAAGAACTGAACCCAAGCATTGATGATTGAACATCAAACTGTAACAAATTATCCTCGATCTGATGTCCACCAATAACAATAGACGTCTTTGAACTTGATCCTCCTTCAACTACACCCAAGCACCAAGCATCTACATCCTTAGTTGTAATCCTTACCATTGAATTAGACCCGAAAATCCTCCAAAAAACATTATTGCTCTGTAACACAAGATCGATGGTTGGAACAGCTGGGCCCACACGCGTATTCTTAACATTCTGTACGGCATAACACACACGGAATGGCTCGACCGGCTTTATTAACGTGAGGTTGAGAAGAGCAGATTCCTGCATAAATGCATCTGTTAAAGCCTTGAAAATTGAAGATTCTAAGACAGTGTATGGTCTAGATGTGCTAATCTTGGTTCCACCATATCCAAGATCGTCTATGGCAAGAAGGGTTTTGTTCAATGGTACAACTTTCTCGTTGACTTTTATAGAAGTCAACCCAACGTAATAATCAGGAGATTTGTACCAGTAGTAAATTTGGGTGTCTGCCCCACGTGGGCCCTGGAGGAGTGGAGTGTAAATAAGTGATTTCGAAAGGTCAACTCCGGGAGAAAAATAGTACGGCCCGGGTGAGTTAAACAAAGCCACTCCATCGGCCTTTGACGAGCCAGGCAAGCAAACTGCAAATATTTGAGGGGAAGAAAATGCCCGGCTCAACTGAGCCGGGAGAGAATAATTAAACCGGCCTAGAGCAGCTAGACCTTTCACTCCTTTAGCAAGACCCCTATAAATCCTCGAATATTTATTCGGATCAGTACAAGAAAACAGAAAGTCTGAGACTCGGCCAAATTGACCCGGTTTCTTGATGGGCAAAGCAAGCTTGTCGATAAGCAGTTCACCGATAGCGATTTTCCGGGTCACTGGGTTTTCAGGAAAGAAACTGCATGAGTCATTGAAGCAACCCGGCCCTGTTTGTTAAAACAGTTGGAGAAAATACCCGGGTTGAGATCGGTGCAGAGAGAGGAATTGCTATAGATTGGCTGGTACGAGGATGATTTGTAGTGTCGGGCACAGTCGTAGAATGGGAGGTAAGAACCTAGTTCCAACTGTAGTTTGGAGGGCTGAAGAGGGGTTTTGAGGTACACTAACATGGTATACAAATTGGTATATTCATCTTTCGTAATAGGGCTGACGAGAATTTGCTGCGAAGTGATTGCAAAACAAGAAAACAGTACAAAGACGACGATGATTATAGACATTTGGAGTTGAAAAGTGTACAAACTCTTTATAAAGCCCGTCTATCGGTCTATATATATATATAGATAGGCTGCATCTAGTCGTGGAAACGCGAGGATTATAAAAACTTGAGTTGGGATCTCGAAGAAATTTTCATTCCGGTTGCATTTATTGGCACGAGACGCGAGAAATGAAGGGAAAAATGTATACAAAGGTTTAGAATCCAATAGAGGATGAAGTCTTTGAGTTCACATTGAACATTCAAGTATTCAAAGTTGATTGACTGCAACTTGTATTTGTTAATTTTATAGATATTGTGATACAGCCAGGTTTTGCAGCATATTATTCGGATAGAACGGTGTAGGACGCGGCTATTGTGGTGGGGAAAAAACATGGCTGGCTTGACAGTTTAGTTATTTACACTCAAGAGTCACGTGGGACTTTAGAATAATCCAGTTTTTTTTTTTTAGTTTAGGATGTTGAGTCAACTAGAGAGATAGTTATGCTTCCTTGTAATTTCGATTTTGTCGCAATTTATCTTATAAATAGAGTCGTCAAAAATAAAACAAGAAAGGTTCGAGGACAGATGGTATTCGATTTTATCTTGTAAACTTCTTTTAATTATAGTGAATTACTACAATGATGAAAGACGAAATAGTCACACACATTGAGGTGAACTTTTATAAATTTTGTGTGTTCTTGTATTTGTGTATCTCTTTCTGCAAATTGATTACTTTTGATGGTATAAAATTAAAATTTTTAATTTTCAACAAAGTACAGTTGAAGCAATCTGGGTGGTTTTGACGCCAAGAGGCCACAACTACACCCCCTCATAGTCATGGCAATGGCAGAAGGGAAGAGCGTAACAGCGCACAGACAACCAATGGACTTCCTGAATTTCAAGTATGAGAATAAATTTACACAATCTCCTACAAGTAACGAAATGCGTAGATGAAAAATTAATAAAAGTTATAAGTCCAATAAAATATGTTGTTGAAAATGAATTTTGAAAAAAAAATTTTGAATTTTAAGAAATGTAGACCAAATATGGACTTGATACTATTTTGAAAAACTTATACATCATCCAGGATCAAACTTAGCATGAATTACAAGAAATTCTGAAAGTTCAAACCCCGTAAGCCCGTGCAAAGAAATGAGACGCGACAAACATTCTAAATTTGGGAATAATGAGGTATTATTTCAAGAGTCAAATGCCAAAGTTGCCAAACTTTTACATCCATTTGAGTAAATTAAGATAATGCACAGGCTGTTCTAATAGTACATTGATTGAATAAATTAAGATTATGCACAGGTTGTTTCAATTATACATTCTTTGAATCATGGCAAAATGAATCACCAAAACCCTTCTTTTGCCATCTTCAGAAAGTTGCAGAGTGTGATGTTAGGAAGATCGGCCGCGCTCACTTTCTTCTTGCAGATCCTAGTCATCTTCAAGGAGTTGGGACCCTCCAATTGGGTGAATGTCGTCGAGAGTAGATTGTAGAACTGTCGAAAAGGCGATTTTGTTAGGCATTTGAAAAAATCAAAACCTTCATCTACTATTAACCATTTCAAAGACACTTGTTCCCTACTTTGATCAATAAAAAGTTATTTACTTAAAATCATCTTACTTAAAGTCAACTTTTTAAGCTCAGGTTTTAACATTCAAAAGTTGAATTGGAAGATAGACCTCACAAACGCCATGCAGTAGTAAACGATGGAAAGGATCTTGAACTTGTAGCACAAGAACATCTCCATCCTGACTTTCCTTGATGAACGATCGTACACGTTCCTGACAAAATGATGCCAATATTACTACGGAACAAAGTGAGAGAAATATACAAGGAAAACAAATTCATTATTTCACTAGATCATATTAATGCTTTCCCAACAATTATTTCGTAATTGTTAGAAACAATGGAAGCTCGGATACTGTCTTGGAATAAATCTCAAGTACCTCATAGCTATTAATCAATTCTGAAAGAAAGGAACGACGAAGTGCATCTCTAGTTCTACAATCAACCCTATGCCAAGCAGTCAGTACAGCAACTTTATCAGCATCTAGACGGCTTCTCCGATCACCAGACGAGTCTTCTTGGGACTCTATAATGGAAGCCTAGCAAAATCAAACAAAGATCTGAGAGAATATAAGCATGTCCTCATGTCATATGCCAAATTCTAAAAGCCATGTAGATTCCTACATGTTAATTTTATGTATCTTACGACAAAATAAAGTTCTGAAGGACCAAAAAGCATAAGCATCTGTGTCTTTAAGAATTTTCCATTCAATTGAAGAATGAACTTTTCAAGATTCATTTTTGACTCTCTGTTAACCTCCATCAACGTCAAGATGTCCATTTATAAACTAAACATTCTAAAGGAAATGCAGCAGCGGGGATGCGACAACGGGGATCTGAAAATAATTTTTTGACAGTTTCAAGATTGAAGTCTATATGCTTTAGTAAACAAGAAAGAGAGAACCTGCTTGTCCATGTCTATATTCCTGAACTTGTCCCACTCTCCCACATTTGTCATGCAAAATGGTGAAAGTGGCACATCATCGCCTGTAAAACTAAAACAAATCAAGTACATGTATGGACAGGTATAGGGACACACTCATGTCCACAAGAACAAGACTTTCTTTTACGTAAACAGCCAGCCATATTGTCGTTCCTGTGATGGCTTATTGACTGAGTAATAAAAAGAGTTGTTGGCACTACGAAAATTATATATTTGCTAAAAGATATCTAAAATGCTTTCCTTCTCAGTTTATTTAAGAGAGAATCAAACTCTGAAAGCGTAACTTTTTTTAATTTACACAATATTAGAAGCCCCTCTAAGCCTTGTGTTTTACTTTGACACGAAGAAAGTTAAGTCTGAACTTTGAAAATGCAGTCTTTTCTAAGGTCATCAGTGTATTTCGACCGTATCTTGTTTGCTTCGATGTTTGAATGTGAGTCGGGGAAAATGACGTCTTTACAAACCACAACTTACCCCATGGCGGTGGAGCAAACAATCCTCTAATTTCATCAGCATTCAAAGGGGGAACAAGCTCCATCAACAAACGATCATTTAGCCATCTACGAGATCTCCTGTTGCGGACCTGCAGCCAGAAATTTAAAATCAGATATACAATTCATTATGTTAAAGGACAGACTGCTCGGGTGGTTATGATAGGTTTCACATAGTCCCAAAGGAGCTCGTTTTTGTAAGAGTAACAAGATTTCAGTAGAGGTGTAGATCAAAACTAATTTGGCCTCTCGCGGTTGCTAAGATCCAAATAGTTCTTCCAACAAGGCGTAGGTTGATTTTGTTGTTGAGCTACATTTAGGGCCGTTTGGCAGGACTTTTAAAAAGTCAAAAGCTGCTTTAGTTTTTAAAAAGAGTTTTTACAAGAAGTTGACAAGGGATAGCTTTCTCAATAGGCTATTTTACAAGAAGTAAAATCAGAAGACCAAACGGGCCTTAATCATTTTTACGAAACATAAATTGCAACACAAGTCAATAGAATCAATATTATGGATTTGACAGCTAACAGTCATAAATACTGGAACAATTTAATTTGATCAAACTCTTCTGAATATTGAGAGAATTGGGAAATTACTTTTCCAGTCAAGCTCTCGAGAAACTCAATCTTTTTCTCAATCTCTGTTTCCTGAGGTTTAACATTTTCACCTGCAACCATTTTCTAGCTAGAATTCATTGGATTTTACAAAAAAATATTGGCATTAAAGTAAACAAAACACCCCAAGTAACAGCATAAAATACAAAACTGAATAAAAAATAGTGTAAAGAATAAAATAACATAGGCAGAAAGAATTACAGTGATCTAATAACATAAATCAATTGTTCCGAAAAGAAAAATTGAACCTTTGGAATTGTGAAATAGAGACGAGAACATAAGAAGATCTTGCTCTGTCTGCAGAATACCAGAATTCGCCATGATCAATTGATTAAAGGTAAGTTTTTTCTGTCAAAATTGAGTTCTGAGGTTATAGAGAGAAAGACGTGTGTTGGAAATCTGAAAATGAAGGTTGTGAAGAAGACGACCAAGAAAAAACGTTTAGGATAATGGAATATTCTATTTTGGGAGATACGACATCGTATTGTACGTATTTAAGGTTGCTTATAAACATCAAGTATCTGTAGTAGTAAATAGGGTCACGCTTTCGGATATTGGGTTATTGAAGCAAGCAAATGGTGGTAACACAGGCAATTTTTAATTGAGAAAACTGCACATCGGTCCTCAAAATTTTCAAGAAGTGCAAATAATTCCCGAGACTTCCAATTTTTGCAGCACGTTAAAAAACACATGTTCCTCTCCTCTTGGATCTTCAAGTACGTTGTCACTTGTGATGGTTTTGATGGTGAGTGGCTGTGTAGTTATTGATTACGATTGAGATGACATTGATAACGATGGAGGAGATGGCGGCGGTGATGGTTTTGGGGTCGGTGTGATGGAGAATATGTGATTGAAAAATAAGGAAAAATTATTGATGTGATGAAAAATATTATTTTATTGAAGAATGTGTGGTTGAAAATGAATAAAAAAATTAGAATGAAAAATATAATATGGCTCAAACAGGGGTTTAGTTAAAATTATTGTCAAAGTCAATTATTTAGCCAACCAAAGGGCAAATTAATAAAAATCATACATTTGGACTTCAGGTTAGCTGTGACATTTTGAAAGGTTTGGTACCATGGTTGGCACAAATGAAAGGTTTTGACAAAATCTGCTACTAAATGAAATGTTTAGTACCGTTGCTGCAATTATTCCAATTTTTAATTACTTTTGATATAAAGCTTCACGAAGCTATTTGTACTTTTTCAAAGGTTAGGACCTATATGCAATTTGTCCTAATTAAAATTAATGCATATTGGTCCTTATTTATTAATAAGAGGACCAATTGTGAATTATACACATAGGATAAGGATGTCCAAGCTCAATTAATGTAAATAACATTACACACAAATCTAAAACTTTCTATAACTTTTCTATCACATAATCTCCCACCAATCACTATCCTAAAAATTTCAATAACCAAAAAATGGGTTTCAAACACCCTCTTAAGGGGTAATATTGCCTGTGTCTGCTCTACTGTCGTACGTACCCACGCACTGAGCTTACAATAGCAACAGTGTACCTCATTCCCCCAGTACCCCCCCACCTCCCCCTCGCCCATCTCCTTCTTCTTCATTTTCATCCCGTTCCGTGTAAAACAAAACCCTAGAGAGATGAACTGTTGGTAATAATTTTTTATTTTTATTTTTACGTACTAACGCATGCAGAGAAGCATCTATTTCTTTTTTCTTGCTTAAAAAATTGGTTATCTATTGATATAAATAAGTTTATGATTAAATATTGGTACTGTTTAATCCTCTGTGTATACTTGCTCTTTTTATTACTGTTTTCGGCATGTCTTTAGGAGAGTTTTACTTCTATTAATGTGGATTTGTGTATAAATGTGAGTTAATGGTCGCCTCCAATCCATATATTCCTCCTGTGCCAAAATTGATAGATTACTGAATGTTGATATTTGAGTTTCACTACTCAATCAAGTGGGCATGAATAAGTGAACGCGTATGGTCGTCAAATTAGCTTGTTTTAGGATCTTTTGCTTTAGAACATTGGGATTCATGTATGATTGAACACTATCGTGATAATTTTCTGTGCAAGCAAAGTTCATAAGTAATGCTCATCTCTTTCCTGTCATTAATCACATGTTATGGGCAAACTTTGGATTTTTAGCTTATTGTTATTTATATGAATATCCCATTTGTTTTGAAATTGAATTATCAATGTGGATATGCTGAGTTCTACTAAATCTTCATCATAAACTTTGGAAATATTTCATTTATGCCTTTTGGTGCCTTTATAATGAGATGCATTTGGAATCACTGATGGTTGACTGATTGTGATTGTCTAGAGTTCTTTGTGTGTGTCATTTGTTTTTCTTTTGCTTTACTGGCTGATCGTCTTAGAAATCCATATTCCCATAAATAATTGGCCATCCCAAGTTTAATTTCTTTTTTTCCGACAATTCTCTCGAGCAGCATGGAAGAACGGGATCGTGAAGATGCTTTGCAGTTAGCACCATTGAACTTTAGTGGGCTAACAAATAATGTTTCAATGATAGTCAGCAATGGTGATACATATCAGCATAGTATCATGACAGCTGGGAGTAATTGGATTCATAATGTCCCCATACCTCAATGGATACACTGCCAAACCCCTCAAAATTATGTCGAGTTTCTCGCAGAGAAAGGGTTCCCTGAAATCCAGAAAAATGTATCCTATGACATTTCTGCTGAAGCATCTAATTTTGGACAGGTCTATCCTTCTCAAGTGGTAGGTAGGCAGAGCCATCTATACATGAAGCTCAATATTTCAAATGCTATTTAGGAATATATGCCCCCATGAAATGCGATTATATATTAGAAGTTGCAAATTCAAATGTCGATTCTTCCATATTTCCTGCAAGAATTCCTGGATTATCTCAAATGATAATGACATGAAAGCACAAGAAAACCATAGTGTACAGACAAGGGATTTAATTTTATTCTCTGCTTCAACAGGAAGGATATTCAATGCCGCAGGGTGAGTGGGCTCAGGTAATGGATTTCACAGGCATGGAGCATCAGCTTGGTGTTCAGGTCAATTGTAATCATTGTTTGTTATATATAATTAATATTCATACAGCAAGATTGTTTCATCCCGAAGTCATGCAATGTATACAAGTGTTCTGGACTCGTGATGATCACTTAACGCCAATATCTTGCCATGATATCACGATCTGCAGAAACAAGATTGGAATGAAGAATATAGTAATGTTTCTCAAGCTAATTCAGGGTTGGGTGCTGCTGCAGCAAATAATTCTTCTGAAACCCGTCGTAAAATATCAAGACAGAGAGCTTATGCTTCTGACCGTGTAAGCATTAGTCGTTCAATAAATTGTAATCAGACAAAATTGAGGTCCTCGACACTGAGCTTCTAGCTGATGAAATACCCTATTCCTTTCAGTGTCGCAGGTTGAGGATTTCAGAGAGGATTTATGCATTGCAGGGATTGCTGCCACATTCTAAAGAGGTAATTTAAGTGGACGTGTGGTGTGGTAAAAAAAACTTACTTTTTTGTGTTATAATTTTGGCTTACTAAAAAGCAAAATGTCTCCAAAGGTTCTTTCTTTTTGTGTTATTGAAATGATAGGTATGCATGTGAGGTAGAAACTGTTCCCATTGGACCAATTTGTGGCTGACATGGTGCTTCCATTTGCCGAAATTGTTAGATTTTTACATTTTCCTTTTAAGTTCCGGCATTTGTGATAGACATGGTGCTTCTTTAAATGGACATTGTCAGATTTTTAGTTTTCCCTTTAACTTGGACAAATTTTACCACAGATATGTCTCTCAATTGACTATTAACTGGTTCTGCAAGCCGACACAAACAGTGAACTACAAGATACATTGTTCTGGAATCTGGGTTCATGTTTACCAATTTTGTCAAAATTAGTCATAATATATAATCTAATAAAATTTAAGAGATCATCTAATTTATAAATGACTCTTGGGTTGTTGTGTTTCAGGGTGGTAGAGCATCTGTGCTGGATGATATCATTGACTATATCAAATATTTGCAATTTCAAGTGAAGGTATTTTTTTTTCCACAGGATGTTTTTTGACTTGCATTAATTATGGAAAAGAGATAAGATGATAAGTTCTCGTAGAACAGATAGATTTTATGTTCCTGAATATCTTTTTTGATGCATTAATTTGTACTTCAAGAATTTCACTATTTCACATATCTTGATGTGAGTAAAATGCTTTGCACGATGGATGTCAGAATTCACAAACAAAGGGTTTCTTCTACAACTAAACGTGTTGAAGTTAGTTTAACTTAAACAGCAGCAGGATTTGATGCTGCCAAAATTTGCTTATCGTAATGATTTCTGCATTGACATTATCAGTTTATATGGCTATTCTGAAGGTTTTCTAGCAATCTTGTAATTTTGCATTGTTATTCCTAGTCAAAACGCTATGCTGACTTTTTGGAAATTTGATCATGCAGGATTTGAGCCGAAGCAAATTGGAACGTGAATCAACTTCTAGTCCTTTTATATTCCTTGAGGTACTAGAAAACACTCATAAATAGATAATCAGATTGCTTATAACCCACTTCACTGCTTTAAAGGCAACAATTTTCTATATACTCTGGCATCCTATAAGGATTTGTTATATACTTCATTTTTAAAGGGATATGGCCATTACTTCGTTAATGAGCAGATGCTCCACGAGCCTCTTGAAGAGATGATGGGAAAGTTGTTTGAGGTCAATCCCTCAGCAGCCACTGAACTATTGCATAGCAGGGGACTTTATGTGACGCCTATGGCTTTTGCAGAAGGATTCCAGAAACCCGTATAGATTCTGCACGTCTAAGTCAGTTGTAAGCTTTTATATCTACGCTCTAATTTCAGCATCTTTTGCCAGACATACAGGCAAAGTTTAAGTGCAAACAAAATCAGTATCTTGCAGTCTTCATGGAAGATTATTTGCAAACTTTGAGTTCATTTTATATTTTGTCTCCTATATCTTCATCTCTTTATATCCTTTAAACTTCTAATATGTTTGGCAATACAAATAACTTTAGTTTGAATATAAATTGGTTGTTGAAAGATGTGACGCTTTGTATCTCAATTGTTGAACTTATTCTCCCAACTTTCTATATTTTTCCGGAAATCCATGCATATTTTATATTTGGTTCATGAGGACAACTACAACAGAATTCCTGGAGGTAACAGGAGGTTGATTTCTTCTACAAACATGTAGGCAGAAGCTAAGTGGACAAACAAGAAATGAACTTTAAAAAGTTAAAACGCACACAATAAATCACAGGAGTTAACTTCCTCTCCCTGGAAAAATTCAGACCCTAACCGAACCCGACCCGCACTGGAAAGTCACATGGCATGATTCATCAACGATGACAGTATAATTGTGTACAGGTCTAGAAAGGAATGGGGCCAAGTTCACGAGCAGATCACAAACACAAACATTGTCAAGTTCTCTTAACCACCGGCAACAATCACGTTCACCATGTGCTTCCTTATGCCCGTCCCTCGTGTGTCCGTGTCTGTGTCCATGATTGTGCCTATGCCTACGACTTGAGCCATCAGACGGAGAAGATGATGACGGATGGGTGGGTGGAGGGAGTGGGGTAAATGGCAGTGCTGCACATGCATGTTGTGCTAGTGCATACTGGGATGCACATAGTGGAGTAGGATTAATTGGCAATCCAGGTTGCCTTGGCACCCACTGGCTTTCTGTCCCGGGATAGAGTACAAGTACAGCACAGAGTATAAATTTAATGGCGATGACTCGATTCATGATTGTCCAATTTTCACTAAAAAGGCCGTAAAAATAGAGTAAGCTACTAAATATTCTGTGCCTGCTCCTTATATAACTCTTCATTCATAAGCTTTACATGTTGCTTATTTAGGTCATTTTTAGGTTGCTGCAACGAACTAAAAGGGCAGAGATTAGGCCTTGAGTTTGCATCATTCACTTTCTGTGAAGTAATCTTTTTTGGTCTAGTTAGTTGTCCTCAAGTTTCGTACTGCAACACCTAACTTATCAGAGAGACAGAGACAAACTAAATATATATAATTCTGTTATATATATGAACAACATTCACAAAATGACATAGTGGCCAACTTTTGTATAATTCAAAGGAAGAGTACGTGTTCGAATATTTCCAATTGCATTAAATCATCTAACACTTAACATATATTATTTTGTTACGTTTACTATCAAAATTCAACGAATGCCATAATGATCAAAGCTTTCAATAATTTTAAAAAGGGTTCGCAGATTCGAATCCACTCCCTATTGCATTTGTTTTGGTTAAAATTGTAGAATTATAAAAATTGCACAATAAATTGGTATAAAAGAGATTTGACCCAGGACTTCACATTTGAATATGAAGGCTGAATTATAAGAAATGTTTGAAAATTAAATGAATTACCAGATATATAACTTGAAAATTTTATCTATTCTCAAAAAAAATAAAAAAAAATATTTGTTTCGACGGATCCAGCACGCGCGGCCGCCGGTGCTCACCGGGTACTGGATCCGTCACTGAGTCCTAATATCGAAAAAGAGATTATTATCCGTGTTACGAGCATAAATAAATTAAATGGGGTTTCAAACAAAAGCTTTCTCAAAACAATTTGGTAAAATGCAACATCGTATGTCACTTTTTACGTAACGCTTGCGAAAGACCGATTCCAAAGTAATATGTGACATCGTATGTCACTTTTTTCCTTTGTCAACACAATTAATCACTTTTTTCAATGTGTAGAAAATTACACCCTCGTGCCTCGATCCTCTTTTACAAACGTTTCTTTCATTTATTGGTGTTTAATTTCCTGCATTTGTGGTGTTTCATTATTGAGCGAGCATTTCCGTTTTAAGGACTTTTATTGCTTATCTATTATGGCTTTCTTTGACCTTTACATCTTACAAATTTCATGACCCCACCCCACTATTATTTTTACTAAATATCTATCTATCTATCTAGTGTTATTTATCTGTACAAGTACAACTTTACAAGGCACCGATACAAGAAAATCGGTTTTATAATAGAGTGGTTATATACTAATATACAATGTCACATAAGGGAATATCCAATATTAACTAGAATATTTAATATTCAACTTGTTCTTCTAAATGGAAGAATACTATAATCTTTGTCTATCTTTTCTGTCCTAACAACGACAGTCATTCGATCACTCAAGTCCTATAAAGAGAAGGGACTGAACACCTCGGCTTGAGTCCACTCTGATGCGAGAAGCCATTAATTTTCCTTGGAAAGTGACAGTAAGGAAAAAATATTTTCGTAAGGAAAGTATAGAGTATATGTATTTCTATCTTTTTCACATTGAAGGTACGACTCTCCTTATATGAATTTTGAGAAAAGTTGATTGTCAATAAGATGGTTATGAGCACGTGGGACAAGCGTCCTAAGGTTTCTTGGATTTTTACGCTGGAATAAAGGAGAATGTCAAGATTTGATTGGTGAAGAGAGGTGTTCCCTAGTTAAGTGACATCTATTATGATAACCCATTTGTATTACTAATCATCTATCATATGACAAAATGGCCTTGCACGAATCTTTGGTTGTGCCACAACTCTACTCATCATATTGGCAGATATAATAGTCAATTGAGAAAAAAAAAAAAAAATCGATGCACTTGTGTACACATAGCACCACTCATATACTAATATACAATGTCACATAATGGAATATCCAATATTAACTAGAATATTTAATATTCAACTTGTTCTTCTAAATGGAAGAATAATATGATCTTTGTCTATCTTTTCTATCCTAACAACGACAGTCATTCAATCACTCAAGTCCTGTAAAGAGAAGGGACTGAACACCTCGGCTTGAGTCCACTCTGATGCGAGAAGCCGTTAATTTTCCTTGGAGAGTGACAGTAAGGAAAAAATATTTTCGTAAGGAAAGTATCAAGTATATGTATTTCTATTACTTTTTCACATTAAGGGTACGACTCTCCTTATGTGGATTTTGAGAAAAGTTGATTGTCAATAAGACGGTTATGAGCATGTGGGACAAGCGTCCTAGGGTTTCTTGGATTTTTACACCGGAATAAAGGAGAATGTCAAGATTTGATTGGTGAAGAGAGGTGTTCCCTAGTTAAGTGACATTTATTATGATAACCCATTTGCATTACTAATCATCTATCATATGACAAAATGGCCTTGCACGAATCTTTGGTTGTGCCACAACTCTACTCATCATATTGGCAGATATAATAGTCAATTGAAAAAAAAAAAAAAAATCGATGCACGAACACACAAATCGATTATAACGGAGAACGGTTTTAGATAGTTGCGAGGCAACGAGGCAACCCGCTTATAGTTAAACCTTATAAAACTTGATGGTATCATTAGCTTGTGATATTCATCCTATCGACGTGAGACCAATTTGACAATAATTTGTACAAGTCCGACCCTTTGGTAAATCTATAATAACAACGGCATTCACGAATCTTTCGTTGTGCCACAACTACAATTGTCATGTTGTCGGGGATATCACTTCCTATTTTTAGTTTATTGAAAAAAAGATCAATGGACCCACACACAAATTGATGATGATGGAGAACAATTCTAGATAGTCGTGAGGCAATGAACTTATAGTCAAAATAAGCCTTAAAAAATCGACCAGCTAGCATCATTAGCACATGATATTTATCATATCGTCTCGTGAAGCCAATTTGACCATAATTTGTACGTGTGACCCGTGTTCAAACCTATAAGCATCATAATATTTCCATATATTCCCACGTTAGTGAATATGTATTCGACTTGCAAAAGAAATCTTGATATCGAAAATACAATAAACATGTTTGGCATAGAACATAGATTCATACTAATGTACCGTTTGGTAACCATTCTTTTTTTCATTCTCATTCTTCTACTAATTTTCAACCACACATTCATCAATAAAATAATATGTTCCATCACATCAATAACTTTTCCTTCATTTTCAACCACAAAAAAGGTGTGATTTGACACAATGAATACATTTTTTTCTAGAATAATGGTTACCAAATGATGCCTAAATAACATTAAAAAATAAAAAAATATTAAAATTTTATCTATTATTCATTAATACTAAGTAACGTACAAAAATCACAAAAGCGATAGATTAAATTTATAAAAATGAATAATTATTATTGCCGTTCGGAAATATGCATGCAACGTATTGGATATCCGCTGCCTCCGCCCTTCGCCGCGCTGGTCAACTCCAACGTTCAATCTAACATCAGATTCTTCTATTTTATATACTGTATGTATCCAAGTAGCCACCAAAAGCAAAATGTACAACTACACCATGAACTCGCTACACCTCAATTTATCCCTTTTTGTCTTTTTCCCTGCAACTTACGTCACACCACTCCATTTACTTTAAAATATGCGACAAAATTTAGGAAACAGTTCTCGGACGTATGTTAAATTTGTAGAACACTGAACAGAATTCAAGATAAAGAGCAACAGAAAGTGTATATATCTTTCTGTACCGACCGCGAAAAGGGGGTCAACCCATAAAAGAATTGTTGGGTTTTAATGAGGGGTTCGTCGATGAATGCGGTGGCCATAGCTGGGATTTTAACAATGGCTTTTTATATGGATTCTCAGGATATCGAATTTGGTAATCCGTGGTGGTTTGTTTATGCCGGAATTTCGTGTTTCCTCGTAATCTTTGCCGGAATAATGTCGGGGCTGACGTTGGGGTTGATGTCACTCGGACTTGTCGAACTCGAAATCCTCCAGAGAAGTGGCACCTCCACTGAGAAAAAACAAGCAGGTACAGTAAGAAATGTTTCCCATTTCTTATTTCTGGTAAATTCTTTTGATTAATTACTTCTTGTAATGAATTTTAATTTGGGGAAAGATTAAATTTTGTTATGTGAAATTTGGTTTTTTATAGCAATTATTTTGCCCGTTGTTCAAAAGCAGCACCAACTTCTTGTAACTCTGCTGCTTTGCAACGCTGCTGCTATGGAGGTGAGGTGTTTTTCTTATTTACATAGTTCATATTATGCAAATTATTAATTATATGATAAATATTTTGGAAGTGTTATAAAAGTTTTGTTCAAATTTCAAGTTTTGGGATTTTTAAATTCGAACAACTAGTTGAAGTATAGTATGTTATCCTGTGCAATATTATCCCGTAGTATGTACTAAACATGACCTACTAGTACCGTGATATTCGAATTATTCATAAGTTATTTGAAAATTTTCTTGAATTGATGACAATGCTCTCTGCAGGCTCTTCCAATATATCTAGATAAGCTGTTTCATCCCGTAGTTGCTGTCATTCTCTCTGTAACTTTTGTTCTAGCTTTCGGTGAGGTACAGTTGTCATATATGATTTAACCATATGTAATGGTATGTTAAACTGTGATTGACCTCTTGTTTTAATTGTGGTGATTGGCGTATAGATCATTCCACAGGCAATATGCTCTAAATATGGGCTTGCTGTGGGTGCGAATTTCTTGTGGCTTGTGCAAATCTTGATGATAATTTGTTATCCTATTGCTTACCCTATTGGAAAGGTAAAATTTTTACATGGATAGTTGAATTTTTTATCCTCTTTCTATTACCAATTGCGAAATATAAGATGCTCTGTTTTTTAGTCCGATGCACTAATATCAACCGAGTTTATGGTGTTGAGATTTTAAAAATAAGATTTACTAGAGATTATTTGTTGGAATGTATGGAGTCTAATTATATTATACACCTATCACCTCGACCGTAAATCTTTCTAGTTTCTTACATAATAAATAGGAGACAGCGTCATGAGGAAAAATTAGTAATTCTCCTTATTCATTATAGTGAAAAATATTCAGTGGCGAGCTGTCATAGATGTCACATTGAGGGCGAATCATTGTTTTATCTGTGTTTTCATGTGTCTGTTTCTATTTCTCGTTTATTTAATTTTTTCTATCAGGATAGGGATTAGTGGTTAATCCATCATATTACTAAGCATGGATAATCAACTTCACATGATTCAGATTCTGGATGCCATCTTGGGGCACAATGATGCTTTGTTTAGGCGACCTCAGTTGAAAGCACTTGTTTCTATTCACAGCCAGGAGGTATTCCCTCGGAGTTGAAAGTGAATAGATATAACTATGATGCATACTTACAATTTATAACCGGAGCATATCTCAACAAGTAGAATATCTATCTGGTGCTTCTTTTATTTTGATATATAATCCAATGTTTTATTTAATATCATAGGCTGGGAAAGGGGGCGAACTCACTCATGATGAGACTACTATCATAAGTGGAGCATTAGATTTGACCGAAAAGGTACATCTGGTTGCGGAGGCATCACATGGCATAGTTTCTTCGCTTCATAACATACTCTTTAGCAATTTGGCCATCTCACTTGACCATGTATTAATGCCACTGTGCACCCTTGTTAAGGAATTTAAATGGAAATACTTGCTTTTATTTTCCCAAGTTTTAAAATCAATAATCCCGTAATTGTATACTTCGATACATCTTGATTTATTATCCTTATGTATAAATTTTTGTCCCAATGAGATTGTTCCAAATATGTGCAGACTGCAGAGGAGGCCATGACCCCTATTGAATCAACTTTCTCACTAGATGTCAATTCAAAATTGGACTGGTGAGATTGATGCTGAATTAGTTTCCTTGTTGCTTAAGTTATATTATGCTGTGAGAATTACTTTTGAAAAGCCATTTATTTCATTTTCTGCGTTAGGTCAGCATAATTTGCTTGTGTATTGGAAGAAATTAAATAATGCTGATATATATAAAAAAATGTTACTCTAATAAATGTCCTACAATGTAGGGAAGCAATTGGGAAAATCCTTGCTCGAGGACATAGTCGCATTCCTGTCTATTCCGGAAATCCAAAGAACATTATTGGACTTCTATTGGTCTGTTTGTAATTCCAGGAATTATTGAACATCTTCCATTTATCTGATTTTAGTAACTGATGAATTGATTATAGGAAATATCTTCTGCTTCTTTGGAAATAGGTAAAGAGTCTTCTTACTGTACGGGCAGAAACAGAGACCCCAGTTAGTGCTGTTTCAATCCGAAAAATCCCTAGGTTTGTTTATCTGTTTAAAATTTTCACTTTTAGTTCCTTTCCTGTTTATTATTCCATCACATATTTGTTTCCCTTCTATTTTAGGGTACCGGCAAATATGCCCCTGTATGATATTCTTAACGAGTTTCAGAAAGGAAGCAGTCACATGGCAGCTGTCGTGAAAGTGCCAGAGAAAGAGAAAATGCATAATTCTTCTTTTGATCCTGGGAAGATCGGAGAAAACAATTTTACCAACGGCCATTCGCAATTGACTATTCCTTTGCTGAATAAGCATGATGGTAAATTGAATGGTGTTGTGATCAACATTGAGAAGGCGTCAAAAGATACCTTGCAAGACAAAGATCTGTCGAAGGATATTGAAGATGGAGAAGTTATTGGCATTATCACTTTGGAAGATGTATTCGAAGAACTTCTTCAAGTAACCTCTCGTGTTTCATGTTATTCATGTTTCCCATTACAACTGATTGATATTGCATCCTGTTGGGCCTATAAATTGTATGTTATGACATGCTTGGAACATGTTTGGCTGAGCTTGTGAATAAGTAAAAGTTACTTTTTTTTTTTTATTTCATAAAAGTTACGTTTTAGTTCCAATTATGCTAAAAGAAAAAAGAGTTGCTTATTTTAAAATTATGGAATCAATAAAAAGTTAGTTATTTATACACAATTTTTTTTTTTTAAGTTTTAGCGGAAAGTACTCTAAATGCCCTCTTCTAATCTGAGAAGGTTCATTCTTCCACCTCCCCCTTTTAAAGTTTTGACCAATTGCTGTCCATGGATACAGGAGGAAATTGTTGACGAGACAGACGTATATGTCGATGTACATAAAAGGTGTTAACAACAAGCATTTCCTAAATATATTAGCACTCACCCTACTTGATTCAGTTATATTCTTACAAGCTTCTTTGTGTATGTCGTTAATATTGTAGAATACGTGTGGCTGCTGCTACTGCTGCTTCATATGTTGCTCGAGCACCTTCGAACCGTAGGCTGACTGGTCAAAAGCCATCGTCAGTAAGTTTTTCATCATTTCCTCTATAGCTTCTACTCAATCGTCTCTCTTTAACCACCATCATCGCAAGAGAATAGCACGTGTATTACTGCCTTTGATGAGAAATCTACATGTAGAACAATGGGTTATGAGAAAAATGACTTTTCCTAATATCAAGGTTACCATCATCTTAAAGAAGGTTACAAAAAACGAGTTCATGGGCAGAAATATCTGGTTACAGATCGCCGGACTTTACTCGTATACAAGATATTTTCATACGTCATTTCATATAAAAACGATCTTCTATTAGTTAATCTAAATATCGTTTACATTGTAGAATAACTGCACTAGACCTTTTATGAGCTTTGGAAATAGTAAAAGTGCATCATGAAAGAAAGACCGAGGATTTTGGATGTGCTCGGCCTGGTCATCTCTGTGTTTAAAAATCCCGGGAACAGAATTATTCTCTAGTTTCGATACTTGCAGTTCTAGAGTTCTAACAAAAGGATGCTATATCCGCGACAAGATTTAATCGTCTCTTATTTTGCATGTATTCTTGGCATTTTTACAGGGAGGCCAAAGGACCAATACCAAAGAAGTTCGACTTAACACGTATGACAATCAGAATAAAACATATTTTGGCTAGGATAAATGGTTTTCTGTGAGTCCTGTATAGTGACAATAATCTAGATGGTTTTTTAACTTTGATGATCTATCAGCTGTAATTTCTTATCACTGTACGTGTTTCAAGAGGTTGTGATATTGATAATGGGAGAAGCATCCCACTGCTAGTTTTGTTAACCTCGGGCGAGGAAGTATGCTATTGTGTATAACGAGCATTTACTGTGTACTGTGTAGGATTTGTGTATATACATATTTACCGATGTGCATCGAAATTGAAAGTTGGTTTAGTCTCTTACAGATTTCCATTTTCCTTAAAAACGCCAAAACTAGAAGTAAAATTTACACATCAAAACATTTGGCTTTTTCTTAAAAACTTAAAAAAAACCCTGGCTGTTGCCCAAAACTGTACAAGGATAAACTCTATGAATGTTACTTTTAGACTACCTGAATCTATCCTCTGTCATATGCGTGTAGCGCGGTGGCTAAGTTAGTGTTGTCCAATACTGTGTACCAAAACAGGTCTAGTGTCTATATTTCAAGGTCAATCATGCGAGCAGAGAAGCAGAACAGTACATCTCCATACGATATAAAGGCGTGCCCTATGCTCCTTGATCTGCTTCAAACAACGCTGTGTCGACCAGAGTTTTGAACTTCTTGGAGAGAAAATCGAACTCGGTTTCATGTTACTCTAGCTGCAGTTGCAGTGTCTTATTGGGTGTATCAGAACTTGGAAATTTTTTGGCTATGGAATGAATAATTCTAAATATTTTTCTTGTTTTTATAAAGGCATGAAGTCAAGATACGTAGATGGGAGGGAATATGCTGTGAACGAGAAGTTGCTGTTTGTCCCCTAATCCTACCCTACTGGAAAAGGACTTGTTATCAACTTCTTACATTGGAGCCATCCCCCAACCCCCCCCCCCACCCCCACCCCCACCCCTCAAAGTACCAGCCCACCGGCACCCTAGATAAGGCATATTGACGTGTTTGATACAACGAAGTATATAATTTTGATAAAAACGTCTCACGTGTCTTTTCTTTTTTGATCTTATCATTCTTGTTAGTGTAGAGCTGGTCATAAGATTTCGAGCGTCCTATGTGAAATCTTGTAGAGTATCAAACAAAAAAATTCTATTATAAAAGAAAGTTCTTCAAATTAAATAATTTAATATATATAATTAATCATATTTCTACTATGTCCCTATGTCACCTGCACACCCTTAGAGCCGGTCTACCCATCTTGTTTGCCTTCTCTTGTTTCCCATTGATTTATTTTTCGCATAAAAATCTCGAACGCTCTTAATATGTTGGACCAATGGAGTTGGACAAGATAAAAAAGGAAAATCATGCGAGATGTTGGTTCTTTGTTATATCTAATCCTATCTAATTTATCGCTCCAAATGTGTCAAGATAACGTTCAACGCATAGAATGACTTGTATTAAAGTAGATGTAACTTAAATGAACCAAATTAGAAAACAAATGTATAGAGTCTATGACATCTGTCTCGGGCCATAGACCCGTACCGTGTAGAGTCCAATATCAAGGGCCCATCCCCACGTGCTCACCTATATCTTAATGTTGCATTTTAGAGCAACAGTTGAAGGCTCCTAACCTTATCTGAATATGATGTTTGGTCCATTTGGAGTACTATAATCAGGTAACATAACATACGAACCCACAGTTGCACCTACTGGATGCAAATCATTTAGTCATCGAAGAAAAATTGACGGGAGCGATGGCTATGAAACAGATTTATCGCTATCAATTAGATACCGAACAAGGTAAAAATGAAGATCTTAGGCTTGTCGAATACCCTAGTATTATGAACTAGAAAACCAATAGTAAGCATTTTTTTGGTGAACATTTATCGAATGGACAGCAAAGGAAACAATTGTAATTCACAAGAAAATGAATTCTTAAGCTCAAAATCATTCTGATCTAGCTGGGAAGGTAAGACTTCACAATATACAGGCAAGTTGTGAACAAAAGTGAAGAAGAAGAAGATATCAGTGCCTCAAATTTGAAAAAATCATTCCAACTGATCATTAGAACAAATTATATTGTTACATAAATGCGCTTAAAAATCGACACAGAGAAGTGAGCAGCTTACGAGTTACATCTCCCTACAGCCTGCCTTGTATCTACTTTTCATTTGGCAACTGTAAACAGAATGGTAAAATGCATATATACAGTCACGGAAAATCTTTTCCTTCTTTGCCATGTGGGAGCATACCAAGTTGAAAATCATATCATGAGGTGATTTTCTGAACATGCTGCAGCATCGAGATCAAAAATGGTTTGTTAACAAGCTAAAATCTTGTTTCATAGTATTTTCTAGTTCCGTTCTAGTACTGTTTACAAAACATGTTGAAAGTGGTGATTTGAAACCACAGAGGAGGATAATGCGACTGATGGTGTCAGACTGCTCATCTTGGCCTCCAATAATTGGAACCTGAAACACCAAAAGAATATAGATAAGAAAAAGAGGAGTCCAAGTAAAGGTATAGTAGCACACTATTCTTCTTAGGTCAAGTGTGTAATAGTGGTAGATATCTTACAGTTAATATTCCCTTCTTTCAGTATCAAAGTAGAGGGAAACACAACAGAATAACCTTTCATCATATATGATACGGCACATTGCAACCTAGTTTCTACAAACGAGTAACTTCACACATCACAGGCACAGAACTCCAATTTAAGCTTATTCATATTTTATGGTCTCTAGATTATAAAAAGAAACTGATACAGCCATTTCCCACTCACCCTCACCCTCCCCCTTCCGAGGTGGAAAAAGTACCAAACAACGAACACGCATTAGTATCAACTAGCCTTTGGAGGTCACATTCAAGATAAACTTAATGATCACTTATAGCATAATAAAGCCTAAACTACAAATGATCTTGTTTCTTCCAATTATCAGAAAAAGTTAACATCAAATTCTATACTGACCGAATCCATAGAACCCATTGGCCTAAAAGCAACATCTTAAACCCTTGGCCCAACTTACTGTTGAACCAGAATTTCCTGAACAATTGTTTATCCCAAAGGGCTTCATCTATTGGTTCACTATTTTTGGTCAATTCAAATAGTTAAAAAGAAAAAAGTCCAAACTAATTACAAGATGCAAAAGCTAAGTGCATGTGTCTTCATTCGTTAAGAAAATTCAGAACTATAAATAAAGTATTTCTTAAAAAAGAGCAGGATGCAAAAGAAAGCTCGATCTATATACTAACATTTAATATCAACATATGAACGAGAGAGAATCAGCAAACACCACCAATATAGTGTTGTTAAACCATGCAAAAATGTGAACAAAATTCATCTCTCCACAACAGGTAAAGATACGGGGTCAAACCTCTATTCTCCACTGGAATTGGACCTTTAGAGAGTGGTCTATAAGGAATAAATTGCCTGTGATTCATACGCCGAGGGTAATCCTGCCTATTGTTATGAAATGCTGCCTCACGAGGACCAGTATAAGAAATAGGTGCATGAGGCAACCTGGAACCATCAGAATAGCATGGACCTGGAGAGGGAGAGAGATTCTGATCAACAAAATCTGCATAAATTAATGTGCCTTAATACCTAAAATGTTCCAATAAAACCTGGAAGAGCTCGACTTACCAGATACGGAATGCAAAGGAGGCCTCCAGCACTCTCCAGTACTATCCCGCCGGGGAAATTTCAATCTGTCACGACTCCTGTAAAAATTTCCATTTTCTTCATTTCGTGTATGGAATCTGTTGGGATAAGAAGGGTGTGCAATATCCCTCCGTGATTGAACTCGTTGGTCTCGGACGTACACGAACTGGTTTGATGAAGAGGGGTGAGGTGGATGCAGATGAAAACTCTTGTTTAAAGCACCTTCTGGTGACTGGATGCTATTAGAGACTCGAACGGGTGGATGATAGACAGGTCGACCCTGGAAAGAAGAAGAATTAGTGTAGTCAGGCAGCTGCCTCGAAGCCAGGGATTGCATATCGGAGCTTGGGTTGCCTCTGGACATAATAGAGTAATTCATAACAGATTCCTGAGAATCGTATTTAACATTCTGCACATTATATCAGATCAAGGCTACTTATCTACATATCATTAGAGTCTTAAACAAAATAAGAATTATCAAAGCAAGGACAACAAAACACACCTGTGAACTTGGATAAGTTTTCGATTTAGTACCCTTGAAAATGGAATCAGGTGGAAATGGACGAGAAGGCGGACGTGAACGTGGAGGTTGAGGTGAGGCAGACCTTGGCAGAGATGTCCGTTGTATGCCCTCACGTGGTGGAGCAAATGGCGCCCAAAAATGGTTATCAGTTTGATATGTCTGTGCACTATCCACACCAGTAATATTAGTAATGGAAGAAACTTCGGCTTCACAAGAGGGAGACACATCCTCCATTTCAAGTTCGCCATCAACATCTTTCAAGACATGACTATGCTTTTCAACAACAGGAAATAGAGTCTTGTCTCCATCGACATTTTCAGTATTGTGCTCAGGAGTGACAGCCTCAAAACTCTCTCCATCAGAATCATTTCCTCCATCTTCAACTCTAAGCATGGGAGGCATACAAAAACCAGGAAGCTGAATACTTGAGTTGCTGCAGCAATAAGAGGAATCACATTATTAACGTTCTTTAAGCAAGAACGCTATAAAAAGTACATCATCAATGTTCCTTAAACTGTTTGCACTTAGTGATACCTTCCATATTCATCAACAAGCATACCCTCCATTTCTCTAATAGGGTCGTCAAAAGCCCTCTCATTTCTTAAAGGTCGGCGAGAGGATGCCCAAGAAGAATATGAACCGCAAAGGGCATCAAGCTCACAAATATGGTGACGGATTATGGGTTCTGGAAGAATCTTTCTTTCCTGCCAAACTCTCAAAACCTATCCAGTAAACCAGAAAGAAGTTAAGTATTGTGCCCACAAAACTCAACTATACAGAAGGAAGATCAAAATAAATTTTTTTTGAAGTGGACCATTGCTTCACTTACTTTCAAGCACTGCCTATGATTTTCATGAGAAATACTACAAGGAGGAGCAGCAGCCAATAACAAACGCGGTAATAACACCTGAATTGCTGAGGGATACATGCCACTGTCACCTGAATATTCAAATAATTTTAGCAAAATGCAACTCGTGTGATAACCAATGTTAAAAAGTTTCCTACAGCTCAGATATAAGCAATGTATACATGGTCTAGAGTCGCAACACCGACATACGTGTTACCTTTCATGCCCCGAGAGCACTGAGTGATAGAATCAACAAGAAAAAACAAGTCCACTTTTCTGTGCAAACGAGGCTCATTTTCCAAATTATGGGCCAGAATTTCCACAACCTAAACAAAAAAAAATAAAAAATGAAAAGACGGCAACGACATCAGACCATAGACAAGTGCTATTCATGATTGCAACGGAGATGTAGGCAATCAGGTAAAAAATTACAATAGAAACATATTTATGCAGCACTCCGAAATATCTGCCTAAATTTATTTACTAGCCCAAAACAAATCAACTTCACACAGAAAGCACATAAATCCTCTAAACTGATTCCTTGATATGCATTTTGAGTGGGTGGATGCTATTAAAAGTTAGAGCAGTAGAAAACCTAACTAATTTTGAGCAGTCAACAACACAAACTTATGCTTC